TTGCTATGTTTTCCCTATTGGGCCCCGCCCCTCAAGCCCCTGGGGTGGGGGCCAGACCCACCATTTATACAAAATTTGTTCCCCTTCCACCAAGGATGATTCTGACCAAATTTGGTTCATGACTGGTAGCGTTTTAAAGGAAAAGTGGACGGACGGACGATGGACTCGGTGCGATATGGCATAAGCTCACCATGGTCCGAACAGAAAGCACTAGATATCTTAGTTTTGTATAAACTCTGTTATCTTGAATCTCCCTTCAAACTCAACATTTATAGCAAGTACCCGGTTATCTGGAATCGCCCATCTGATCATACTCAAACAGATAGTTATACTCTTTCTTGAAGCACCACTAACTTACTTTTTCATAAAGCTAACAAGATTGTCTGTCGTTCTTCCCATTTTGTAGTCAAATGCTTCCTTTCCATCTCTGTAAAAAGGCATTGAGTATTTCAATAACAATGTAAACACATAATTTGATATATTCTGTATGAAATGAAATTGAGATTTTGCTCAATCATATTACCATATCCCTGTATTTGACACAAACTTGAGGCAATCATTAAAGTACCAGAGGGGAAAAAAGTTATAAAAGTGTCATTTTCGTGAACTACATAAAAAGGATAATATCTAATAGGAGATGAACAACATAGAAAACAGTACAAACATGAAACTTAGCATCAAGTTTGGTTAAAATCCATTATTCTTGCTGAAGGAGTGTTTGATTGCATGTGTTTTGTGCACAGGCTAATATAACTGTCATCTGGTTATAATGCTCAAAGTGAATTATTAAGGGCTACTAACTTAATAGAGTGATGCTGATGGAAGCATTCCCTACAAGCAAGCAGAAAAAAGGTAAACCACTTACTTGAAATATTTCACTGAAACAAACAAAAGAACAACAATACAGATTTATCATCAATAACAATATTCCCAAATCTAAATCTATATCTAGCACTGCATTTTAGTTGGATGCATAGAGGGATTGAATCTGGATTTGTCCAAAGCTAATGCAAGTATGAACAAGGGAACATTTACTTACACCCCACATGAGCAGCTGTAGTACATTTGGTATGTATGTTCTGTAAATCAAATGTATGACATAGCCTAAAATACTTTCAATTGGTAACCAAACCAATAATTAGACTTTCTTCAATAGTTTTATTACAGTTCCTTAATAAGAGAGATGCCATTAGGCTGCAAATATGTGCACACTCAATGAATATGATTCCCAGTACTTACATGCAGGGTATCCCTTTACCCCAAACTTGGAGGCCAGATTTGGCTCTAAAGTGGCATCAACTGCAGCTAAAACTCCATCAATCTGTCAACAAGCAAAATATGACATTGCATAGAATAAGATTTAAGAATTAGATTCTAGCTGAAATGTTGAGTGCCTCTTAAGTAATATTTATAGCAATCTACTAACAGAGGTAAGATACATTTCTAAGATTTACATTCCACAAGGTATCGCAGAGAAATACTCATCCCCGGAATCCGAGTTAAAGCTAAATGATGACACCACTTGATCGTTGATACCTAAGTATAAGTCTGAAGCAAGCATTTTTGTTGAGGAAGCACTGCATGAATTTGAGTTTCTTGCTGGAACATGAGTGATCGTTTTGAAGTTAATTTTCTATGTTAAGTTCCAGTGACCTTTACCTTTGACCTTCAAACCTGAACACCATGCCAAGCAACATTTTCACTGAGGAAGCAGTGTACGAAATGTGATATTTTGGCTCAAGGAACTCTGACTCAGAAATTTAATAATATCAGGACAATAGGAGGTCAAAATTATTGTTTGGAAACAGAGGTGAGACAGACAAGCATCATCACACATTTCTTGTGAGGAAACATTGAAATGACAGTGTATAATCATAGCACAATAAATCTTTGAAGCCAAGACACCAACCAAATTTCTTCTATTTGTTTAGTTCCTTTATATAGTTATCAACTGTAAAATGTGTTGCAATTTCAATTATTGTGATAAGATATATCTGTTAAATGAAATTTCTGATGAAGATTCAAGGGAAAAAAAAGTTACTTAGGAAAGCTAGACCAAAAATAACATGCATCCTTCATTAAGATTTTTCAGGATAAAAAATAAAATATGTCTATTTCTTTGCTAAATGACATAATGCAGCATTTTTACCTCCTGGCCATTGAGAATAGCCGCTGCTTCTCCATAGGCTGGTTTCATTGCCTTACAATGTCCACACCCTGAAAATAGACAATTCTTTATACAAAATCAACTATATTTCTATAACCTTTGAAATATGTCTAAATGTTCTTCTATTTCAACATTCTGGCTACCAGTGTCAATCAGTATATTTTAATTCATTTACTAAAAGCACCACTGCAGTAATATNCCTCTTTGGAAACCGTTTCATCTCGCTCGCACCACTTGTGTTTACTGCCTAGTCAGGTGACGTTATCGGCGCTATTTTTAGCAGGGCTTTCCCTAACAATTCAAGTGGTCAAACTAGACATTTGGAACGGACTATGAATATGGGGATAGCGTGGTAACATAAGTGGAAGTGCATACAATACATACATTCATTAAAAAAAAAACGCCTTTTCACGTGATGTCCCTTTAAACATTATGCATTATCCCTAACCATATTGTATATCTCTGAGGCTGCCCTTTATGGAATTAACATCAGGCAGAAATGAAAAAGTATTGGATTCCCTACATCTGTTGTGTCATCCTCTACAAATTCAACATTATATTATATCCTTTTCTGTAGTATATCTCTGGGTAAGATTTTTGTACAATATCCTTCTGGCAGATATGAGAATGTATAAGATTCCCCACATTTGTGATCTCATCTAACCATTTTATGTTTGAGGGAAAAGTGTGTAACACTGTCCGAAAAAATATCCCCTCAAGGTGTCAATTCCCTTCCTTTATAGTACTTACATGGAGCATAAAACATAACAAGGACGGAGCTGTGTTCCTTCATGAAGCCATCAAAGCTGTCCGTGGTAAGGAATCGTAAATTTTCCATACCGACTACCTCTGCCCACTGTTGAGCAGGTGTCTCTACAGCAGGAGCTGGGGGTGAGGCCCCCGGATTCTGTGGGTCACTCATAAAGTTCACAAAGTCAGCCTCCTACAAACACAACACAAGGGTCATAAAGTTCACAAAGTCAGCCTCCTACAAACCCAGCTCAAGGGTCATAAAGTTCACAAAGTCAGCCTCCTACAAACCCAGCTCAAGGGTCATAAAGTTCACAAAGTCAGCCTCCTACAAACACCACACAAGGGTCATAAAGTTCACAAAGTCAGCCTCCTACAAACCCAGCTCAAGGGTCATAAAGTTCACAAAGTCAGCCTCCTAAAAACACAACACAATGGTCATAAAGTTCATAAAGTTCACCTTATACACAAACATAATACAGTGTCACTCATGAAGTTCACACAGTCAGCCTCCTACAAACATAACACAAGGGTCATAAAGTTCACAAAGTCAGCCTCCTACAAACACAACACAAGGCTCATAAAGTTCACAAAGTCAGCCTCCTAAAAACACAACACAATGGTCATAAAGTTCATAAAGTTCACGTTATACACAAACATAATACAGTGTCACTCATAAAGTTCACACAGTCAGCCTCCTGCAAACATAACACAAGGGTCATAAAGATCACAAAGTCAGCCTCCTAAAAACACAACACAATGGTCATAAAGTTCATAAAGTTCCCCTTATACACAAACATAATACAGTGTCACTCATAAAGTTCACACAGTCAGCCTCCTACAAACACAACCCAAGGGTCATAAAGTTCACAAGGCAGCCTCCTACAAACACAAAACAAGGGTCATAAAGTTCAAAAAGTCAGCCTCCTACAAACATAACACAAGGGTCATAAAGATCACAAAGTCAGCCTCCTAAAAACACAACACAATGGTCATAAAGTTCATAAAGTTCACGTTATACACAAACATAATACATTGGCACTCATAAAGTTCACAAAGTCAGCCTCCTAAAAACACAACACAATGGTCATAAAGTTCATAAAGTTCACGTTATACACAAACATAATACAGTGACACTCATGAAGTTCACACAGTCAGCCTCCTACAAACATAACACAAGGGTCATAAAGGTCATAAAGTTCACCTTATACACAAACATAATACAGTGTCACTCATAAAGTTCACACAGTCAGCCTCCTGCAAACATAACACAAGGGTCATAAAGTTCACAAAGTAAGCCTCCTAAAGCACAATACAGGGTGTTACTCATAAAATTGCCCTTATACAAACACAATACAGGGGGGGTACTCATAAAGTTGACCTAATACATAAAAACACAAAACAGGGTCACTGATGAAGTTAATAAAGATGACCTTATACAAACACAATACAGGGGGGGTACTCATAAAGTTGACCTAATACATAAAAACACAAAACAGGGTCACTGATGAAGATCATAAAGATGACCTTATACAACCACAATACAGGGTGTTACTCATAAAATTGCCCTTATACAAACACAATACAAGGTGTTACTCATAAAGTTGACCTAATACATAAAAACACAAAACAGGGTCACTGATGAAGTTAATAAAGATGACCTTATACAACCACAATACAGGGTGTTACTCATAAAGTTGACCTTACACAAGTTCATAAATCACCCTCCTAACAGACAAACAGAGGATCACTCACAAAATGTAAGGCCTTCAACAAACACCAAACACATTGTTACTCAAAAAAGTCACAAAATGTAAGGCCTTCAACAAACACCAAACCCATTGTTACTCAGAAAAGTCACACAAAGTCCTCCTAGGAATTGAGAAGAGCAACAATTGCTGAGAGTATTACATTCTGGGAGATGTTTTACTTACCTCTCTGCCTCCCATGTAGTTCTGGGGAGACTTGCCATACTTAAAGTATTTAAATGTTGGGTAACCAGTCACTTCATGAGCTGTACAGGACGAGGAGTGCACGGTACAGTCAATAGCAGCCAACAGAACCTGGATATAGAGAAATTACTGTTACAATACCTAATACAGTACAGCACATTCACAAAACATCATTGCTAGTTTTCCATTGAACATCAAATGTATAATAAACATCTCAAGCTCAATATAATTAGTATCATGTATTTACACATACATTTCACCTCTAACTCAGTGTAGAAAATGCATTCTATATTTGTGTTCAAATATATGATTTCACATTTAAAACCCTTAAATGTGATAACGACTTTGAAACCCCTTTCAATAGTAAAACTCTCTTTTATACAGTGGATAATATTTTTTTGTAAACAATTTATAACAATATCACAAAAAGCAAAAAAAGGACAATATCAGTCTCACCTTGGAATCATCTTTAAGTTTGGCAGCTGCCTGCATGAATTCTGGCTTAGCCTTTTTACAATGTCCACACCCTGGAAAAAGGTACCAATTGAAAATTAAGCGAATGCCTCTGAAATCTCATTTTGGTTGGTCTGACAAATTGTGGATTAATCTTTGTAGGCCTGTAATTTTTTTCTTTTTGCATATAGGTTCAATATATTTTGTATTAAATATCAGAGCAATGTTTGATGGGGAGATACCTTAAACAGCATGTTTTACCAGTGGACACTAATTCTACGCAGTTACTGATCAGGATGGAAGTTTTAAATAAATATAAGTATTTGCTCAATCAAAATAACAAGTGTAACGGTTTTATACACCAACCTACTTTAATCCCACCACAGGTCTTTATCATAACAAGCAAATTCGTGGAATTTATATCCCCCGCTTGCAGGACATATTGTAGGTTAACATTATTGAGGTTAGGTTTAAACATGTGATTATCGTGCTGTTGAGACATAATGTATAGCTTGAAACTTGAAGAAAAAAAAAGCCCTATACCTCATTGATTATCCGTAAATATGCACAAATCACATCGTTTGGCAAACTTAGCATGAGTTGAATGTGCATAAGGAATTTGGTTGAAACATCTTAACAATATCTACAGCAACAAGTACTAATTGTAATGGGGGACCATTACAGATGTCCCCTGAACTGCCCCCATAGTCGCAAAGATGCATCAGAAAAGGATCGCATTGCGATAGTACACCTACAATGTACATATCAAATTTGAGTGCTATGGCAACGAAACCTATGCGGTTGAATTCGCAGTCTCCTAATATCCCTATATACCAATTTTCATCAAAATCGAACAATATCTAAACTTCGACCAATCAGAAGCCTCCGTGTGGTTGCTATTGTAACGAAATTAATGCGGTCGAATTCGCAGTCCCCTAATATCCCTATATACCAATTTTCATCAAAATCGAACAATATCTAAACTTCGACCTAACAGAAACCTCTGTGTGGTTGCTATGTTAACAAAACTAATGCGTTTTTTTACAAATTTTCATCAAAATCCAACAATATCTAAATTTTGACCAATCAGAAGCCTCCGTCTGGTGGCCATGGCAACGAAACCGATGCGGTTGAATTTGCAGTTCCCTAATATCCCTTTATACCAATTTTCATCAAAATCGAACCAAGTTTGAAGAAAATCACTTAACATTTGTTACAGTTATTGCACAGAAACAAAACCCAGCAGATAATTACGTTTTTCGTTATTGAAGGGGCCATTACTCCGCCAAATGGGGTCCGCTGAAAGTGGTCATCAAACTTGGCCAAACCCTTAAGGCATTTAACCCTGCGACTAAGTTTGAAGAAAACTGGTTAATATTTGTTGTAGTTATTGCACGGAAATGAAGCGTGACAGACAGACAGACGAACAGACCCATATTAATATCCCCCATTTCGGTGAAAGCGGGGGATAACAACAAACAATCGACTAAACAGGCAACGTACATGGTGCATAAAACATAACAAGGCCATGCTTCTTCTTCTTAAGTGTAGACTTGAAATTTTCGTCAGTGAGGTGAGCTACTTCACTCTCAACCTCGTCCCATTTAGGCTCTGGAGGTGGAGGAGGTGGGGGCTCCTTGGGACTGAAACACACGTAAAAGTACACAAATTATAGGCTTGTCGTAATTATAGGCGGTTGGGGCAACTTGGGACTGAAACACACGTAAAAGTACACAAAATTACAGGCTTGTCGTAATCATTTTCTTTCCCATTGTCTAATATTAAAGCAACTTTGTCCTCAATATTTGATCTTTAATTAAGGATGAAAATGCATATTTTAAAACATCTATTATATGAAGTCCCATAGCTTATAAAATGTGATACATTTGAAACAAATTACATGTATCTTACAAAAAGATGCAATGCTTTTTTTGCATGAACAAGGTCATATTTTCTATGGTTACCAATTCCTTCCCGCAAAGGATCATTGATAAAAATATTCAGAATTTTTAATTAAATTTTAAAATGGCTTCTGAATAGAAATCTAATAGCTCTTGGTGTCATATTTTTCTTAACATTTTGAGCCTATAGGTTTATTTAGAGGCTTATAATGGATACAAATACTAAAAAATAGATATCGATAGTTGTTTGAATGATACTTACTCCTTCATAAATTCTACTATTTTTTCTTCTGTTCTTTCATTAACATCAAATACAAATTCACCGTCCCTAAAAAAAAAGCAGCAACAAAATAGATTGTAATTTCACAAATAACTACAAAACATTCACAAAAGTAGTGGCTCTTCGATCCTAATGTTGTCATATATTAATACTTCACAATTGAATATTATAATGAGTGGTCTTGGACTGAAAATGTATTAGATTTTTGTGGTAATTATTAAGTATTTATGGTAACAAAATGTATAGGTATTTACAGTAATAACACTTTTATGATAAAATATAATGTACTCACTTGAAATATTTCACTTCATGTCGAGACGAAACACAGCAGATGAAGGAAAGAAAGAAAACAGAAGGAAATTAAGTTTATTCTCATATTGATAAGCCCGTTTTAGGAGCATCGCATGAACATATATTGCAGAAAATTAGCTCAGTACTATCATTGTTAATAGACATGTGTTAACAACAGACTAATCAGGGGTGAACATTTATTATAATCAATAAATATGTACTTTAAGGAACTGTAAGGAACCATCCATACGCAATGCTCTGTTGTCAATATTGACAGTAAACGATAGTGATGAATTGTTGTCATGACATCAAAGGTTCTATGACATGTAAAATTGATTATGCCAGAAACATGCAACTGATAGAATTTTTCAACTTGCATTTGTAACCTAAATTTGGTCAGGCAGAGAATCTTTTATATTATGTCAAAAACTATCAGCAGGTAGATTTCTTCAAACAGGGTTGCTACATTTTGTCAAATGTGGTCGCTTAACATGAAATCTTCGGGTTGGAAATTCTGGTCACTGATCAGGTTATAGTCTCATCATACAACTAAATTCTGGTCACTGATCGGGTTATAGTTGCATCATACAACTAAATTATGGTCACTGATTGGGATATAGTCGCATCATACAACTTAGTTCTGGTCACTGATCGGGTTATAGTCGCACCATACAACTAAATTCTGGTCACTGATTGGGTTATAGTCGCATCATGCAACTAAATTCTGGTCACTGATCAGGTTATAGTCTCATCATACAACTAAATTCTGGTCACTGATAGGGTTATAGTTGCATCATACAACTAAATTATGGTCACTGATCAGGTTATAGTCGCATCATACAACTAAATTATGGTCACTGATCAGGTCACCGTCGCATCATACAACTTAGTTCTGGTCACTGATTGGGTTATAGTCGCATCATACAACTATGTTCTGGTCACTGATCGGGTTATAGTCGCATCATACAACTTAGTTCTGATCAGGTTATAGTCGCATCATACAACTAAATTATGGTCACTGATCGGGTTATAGTTGCATCATACAACTAAATTCTGGTCACTGATCAGGTCATAGTCGCATCATACAACTAAATTCTGGTCACTGATTGGGTTATAGTTGCATCATACAACTCAATTATGGTCACTGATCGGGTTATAGTTGCATCATACAACTAAATTATGGTCACTGATCGGGTTATAGTCTCATCATACAACTAAATTATGGTCACTGATCGGGTTATAGTCTCATCATACAACTAAATTATGGTCACTGATCGGGTTATAATTGCATCATACAACTAAATTCTGGTCACTGATCGGGTTATAGTCTCATCATACAACTAAATTATGGTCACTGATCGGGTTATAGTCTCATCATACAACTAAATTATGGTCACTGATCGGGTTATAGTCTCATCATACAACTAAATTATGGTCACTGATCGGGTTATAATTGCATCATACAACTAAATTCTGGTCACTGATCAGGTCATAGTCGCATCATACAACTAAATTCTGGTCACTGATCGGGTTATAGTCTCATCATACAACTAAATTATGGTCACTGATCGGGTTATAGTCGCATCATACAACTAAGTTCTGGTCACTTATAGTCGCATCATACAACTAAATTCTGGTCACTGATCAGGTTATAGTCGCATCATACAACTAAATTATGGTCACTGATTGGGTTATAGTCGCATCATACAACTAAATTATGGTCACTGTTCAGGTTATAGTCGCATCATACAACTAAATTATGGTCACTGATCGGGTTATAGTTGCATCATACAACTAAATTATGGTCACTGATCGGGTTATAGTCTCATCATACAACTAAATTATGGTCACTGAACGGGTTATAGTCGCATCATACAACTAAATTCTGGTCACTGATCAGGTTATAGTCGCATCACACAACTAAATTATGGTCACTGATCAGGTTATAGTCGCATCATACAACTAAGTTCTGGTCACTGATCGCGTTATAGTGGCATCATACAACTTAGTTCTGGTCACTGATCGGGTAATAGTCGCATCATACAACTTAGTTCTGGTCACTGATCGGGTTATAGTCGCATCATACAACTAAAATATGGTCACTGATCGGGTTATAGTCGCAACATACAACTAAGTTCTGGTCACTTATAGTCGCATCATACAACTGAATTATGGTCACTGATCAGGTTATAGTCGCATAATACAACTAAATTCTGGTCACTGATCGGGATATAGTCGCATCATACAACTATGTTCTGGTCACTGATCGGGTTATAGCCGCATCATAATTATGGTCACTGATTGGGATATAGTCGCATCATACAACTAAATTCTGGTCACTGATCGGGTTATAGCCGCATCATACAACTAAATTATGGTCACTGATTGGGTTATAGTTGCATCATACAACTTAGTTCTGGTCACTGATCGGGTTATAGTCGCATCATACAACTAATTTATGGTCACTGATTGGGTTATAGTCGCATCATACAACTAAATTCTGGTCACTGATCGGGTTATAGTCGCATCATACAACTAAATTCTGCTCACTGATCGGGTTATAGTCGCATCATACAACTAATTTATGGTCACTGATAGGGTT